TTTATAGGGTTTAGGCTCAGGCTTAAGGTTTAGGATTGGCCTGGGCCGGTGATTCGCAAGGCCCCCCTACATCACGATGTAACCGGTATCCCCCTACCCTTCTATTTTCTTAATGGACTCGGCACTGTCTACAGGCGAGCTTCCAGAAACTTCCTCCTTCATGAGGATGTAGAATCCAGCCGATTCAACAGGGTTCCCGGTTTCAGGCGGCCCGAGTAGCTGGCTGACTTGGCCAGAGGCCTCGCCTTTTGAGGGCAAAAAAAACCATCAAAAACCCCAAAGCCAAAACGTTTAGGGTTTGAATCTCTTCCGTTAAGTCTTGATCTTACACCCTTAGCCCTGACCCTAACCCCAGATCTCGCGCACGGGATCTATGTCTCCGCCGCCGATGGTTACCCGCAGGGCACGCTACCCAGCGCTCGGGTTTCGGGAGGGTTTTGCGGGTTTCGTTTGTTTGGGGTTCAGGCTTGAGGGTTTTGGGTCGGTTGAGGGTTTCAAGGTTCAAGGAGAACTGGGTCCGAGTTTATAATTCGCAGCCTCGCTTTGAGCCTAAACTCTAAGCCAATAAACCTTCAAACCCTAAACCCCTGAAACCGTAAAACCCTCCCCCGTTAACTAAGTTTCCTGTCGCCAGTAATTCTTGGCTTGGGGTAAACAACTGAAGTGGAGATTTCCGAGAATAGGGGTACTTTATGCGGGTCCTTATTCATGACATTAATGACAGGGGGTCTATGGGTCCCTTATTTTCGTAAACCCCCACGTCGCTCAGCAGGGCTTCCAAGGGGCTTGGGCTTTTGGGGGAAGGTTTCGTGAGCGGCGATGACAAAGAGTTCGCGGGGGCGCTTCATCAATCAACGGTTGTGGCTGTGGTAAGAAGATGGTAGGACCTTGTTTTTTTTTTTTTTTTGGGGGGGGGGTTCTTATAGTACAATTATAGAGGGACCATAAGGGAATACTCTTTGTAATTCTTCGACCTGGTAGGTTTTTTTTAGTTTAGGGTTAGGGCTGAGGGTTTACCATGAACTAGGGTATTGGGGTGCAGGGTCCAGGGTTCAGGATGCACCGGGGACGAACTTTCACAGTTAAAGCGTATGAAGAGTAAACGGCCTGTCGAGTTTGGCATCAACAGGGCTGAGGAGTTTGCATTTGACCCTAAACCCTAAACCCTAAACCCTAAACCCTAAACCCTAAACCCTAAACCCGAGTCCCCTAGCCGAATTTCCGAGGAAGCAACCTCGCCGCCCATGGTGACGATGCAGAACCGGATGTCGGCGGCAGGGGGCCCTGCACACTCAAACCCAAGTGGCAGTTGCACGGCTCGGTAGTTCCAAGGTTTAGCATGCGTAGGGTTCCGGGAGGACGTGGGCTTCGGGCCTTAGGGTTTAGGAAGGACAAGCAGCAAGAACAAGGGCAAGGGCAAGGGCAAGGGCAAGAGCAACAGAGAGAGAGAAGGAGGAAAACTGAGAGCAAGGACCGAGCCACTGAATGGCTGGTTGTGCTTGTGAAGCATGTCGAGGACTGCAAATCTCCCTAAACCCGGCGGACGGTGCCTCACGTCACACCCCAGCAAAATCGGGTTGTGCTTCGGGTGTTGTGAACTTAGCAGGGAAGCTCCCTGCGGCCAACACCTTCCCTCCGGCCCCCCGCCTCGACAAAGCAAGGAATGCCCTAGAACCCTTGAAGCCCTTAAAACTCATGAAGCCAGGAAAACCCTCGAAGGCCTTGGAACTCTACCCTAAACCCTAAACCCTAAACCCTAAACCCTAAACCCTAAACCCTAAACCCTTAGGACTCATGAAGCCAGGAAAACCCCCCCGAAGGCCTTGGAACCCTGAAGCATCTAACAAGAGACTGTTGAAACAAACCACCTGGTCGCCCCAATCAAATCCGACTCGGGTCTGGAGTTCAGGGTTCAACGTTTGTGCCGTTAAACCCTTAACCCTTAACCCTTAACCCTTAACCCTGAACCCTTAACCCTTAACCCTTAACCCTAAACCCTAAGCCCTAAGCCCTAAGCCCTAAGCCCTAAGCCCTAAGCCCTAAGCCCTAAGCCCTAAGCCCTAAGCTCTAAACCCTACCCTTCCCCCAATCTCGAAGAACGAGGCTCAGTTCATGGAGCTCTCCGTCTGATTCGAGCCTCGCGCCAAGTACTGAACCCTTCAAGGAAGGCATACTAGGGGACCACTTAACTCCCTAAACCCTAGACCCCAAACCCCAAACCCCAAACCCCAAACCCCAAACCCCAAACCCCAAACCCTAAACCCTTCAAGGAAGGTAAGGGGCCATACTAGGGCACCACCCAACTTCCTTCAGAGGCCAAGTACTCCTGGGTCTCTTGTAACGGCAAGACAAGATTACCAGTCTCTCTGTCTTACGATCGCAAACCCCTGACCCCCAAACCCTAAACCCCCAAGCCTAAACCTTGAACCCTGAACCCTAAACCCTAAACCCCTAAACCCCTAAACCCCTAAACCCCTAAACCCCTAAGCCCCTAAGCCCCTAACCCCATAAACCCTACAAACCCTACAAACCCTACAAACCCTACAAACCCTACAAACCCTACAAACCCTAAACCTTGAACCCTACAAACCCTACAAACCCTAAACCCTAAACCTTAAACCCTACAAACCCTACAAACCCTACAAACCCTACAAACCCTACAAACCCTACAAACCCTACAACCCTACAAACCCTATAAACCCTACAAACCCTACAAACCCTACAAACCCTACAAACCCTACAAACCCTACAAACCCTACAAACTCTACAAACCCTAAACCTTAAACCCTAAACCCTAAACCCTAAACCCTAAACCTTAAACCCTACAAACCCTAAAGCCTCCAAACCCTAAAGCATCTCAGTGGCTCGCAAGGTTGCTTCTTGCTCTGCTTCGCCGTTGGCGTTGCATCTGAGGGGTCTCTGCACTGCGAGCTGGGCCAAGCCCGTACCTCCCAGGTTATGGTTTAGGGTTTAGGGTTTAGGGTTTAGGGTTTAGGGTTTAGGGTTTAGGGTTTAGGGTTTAGGGTTTAGGGTTTAGGGTTTAGGGTTTGGGGTCGGGGTTCAGGGTTTAGGGGGTTTGGGGTTTGGGGGGTGCTGAGTTAGGGAGTTTGAGGGTTAAAAACCCTAAGCCTCAGCCCGAAAACCCTAAACCCTAAACCCTAAATCCTATAAGGTTTAGGGGAGTCATAGTTTCTCTGCCCCACAAAGGCTCAGTCCGAACAGCTGGAGTAGCATGCGGTTGGAGCTCGGCAGAGCTCATCTTACTGTTGCTTCGTAGGGAATGAGGGAATCAGATACCCTATATCCCCCTATATATACCCTTTGAGCGATTATATAGGGTACCTCCCATATATACCCTATATATACCCTTTATATACCTACCCTTTGAGGGATTATGTAGGGTACCTCATTCCCCATTCCCTACAAACCAACAGTAAGTCATCCATAGCTGGTCCGCTGGACCGTCACCGGGGCCCCCAGCATGGCTCTTGCAGGGGTTTGGGGTTTAGGGTTTAGGGTTTAGGGTTTAGGGTCTAGGGTTTAGGGTTTAGGGTCTAGGGTTTAGGGTTTGAAGCCATGCGTAGGTATATTACGGGAAGTTCTCCAAATTAGGGTCCCTGCGAATCTCGCGAGCTACCCTACTGAAAACCATTTCATGTGTTTCCCTACTAATTACCCCCCTCTATACTACACCCCCGGGCTTAATTACCCCTAAGTGGCCTTAACCCGACACCCGAAACCCTAAACCCCAAACCCTAAACTCTAAACCATTATGAGCACATGACCACAGCTAGCTGCCCGCCTCGAAGTCCCTGACACCCCGACTTCGAAGTGTCCATTAAACTTCAAGCCCTAAACCCTAAACAACCCTAAACCCTGAACCCTGAACCCGAAACGCTGAACCCTGAACTGAAACCTTGACGCGATTTCCTGCAGTCTTTGCTGGGGGATCCTGGATCCTGTCAATGCCTCTCCCGTAGCTGTCTGCTTCCTGGCGTTGGCTGGGCCCATCGGCGGTAACTTTGGAAAGCATTTCACATGTTTATGTAGCCCTAATCCCTAGAAAGCCCTATACCACCCAAACCCCTAAACCCTAAACCCTAGAACCCTAACCCATGCAGCCCCATCCAACCCCTACTTACAATTATAGGGTTGTTGTGATGCTTGTAGGTTCGATGTTCAGAGTTCTAGGCCCCCCCCCTATATAATCTTATACAACCCATAGAACATTAAACAACCCTAAACCCTGGTCCATACGCAAACCCTATATGGGTAGTTCTCCAATGAGAGACATCCCCTACCTTAAACTTGCCCCTCTACTCTAGCAGGCTAGTTTCGGGGAACAGCCCAACCCAAAACCCCTCAAACCTCAAAACCTTACATGGTCTTCTCCGAGGAGGCTCGGAGGTCTATGGGCCCAGCGCGGCTGGGAAGGGGTGGTGGGTCTCGCAGTCTGGACGCGGAACATAGTCATGCAGGTCAATATCACCAATGCTATCCTTTCCAATCCCTAGTCCAAAGATATTGCCCTCTACCATGCATCACTATAATAAGCGACCCAAACTGCCCATTCTGGGATTCCCAGTGGCTGGTTCAGGACGTCCAGGGCTTAGACTTTAGACAGGGTTCCCTTCCCCGGTGTACTGGACCCCAAGCCCTACACCCTAAACCCTACACCTTATAAACCCTAAACCCTAATTTAGGTGTGAGGTTCAGGGTCAAGGGGGGCTGTGAGTTCGCGCTCAGCTGCAGCTCCATACCCAGCTCTTGCCAAAGACTCGCAAGTGAAGCAAAGAAAAGCTCTCGGCCTCGCGACTCAGGGGTTAGGATTCATGGGGTTTTGGGTTTAGGGCTTAGGGTTTAGGGCGACTGCCAGTTGCATTCGGTTGCGGAGGGCTCACTGTGCACTTTCTCCGGTGCTCTTTCTTCATGCCCGGGCCGGCTCTCGAGATTCTTGGCTCGTCAGGTGGCCGCAATAGTTGCTGACCTTGCCTGTGGCCATGAACCGAACCGTGTGGAGGTTGCTTGCGGCCTCCCTTGCCTCCTTGGCATTTCCGCACGCCGGCGCGGAGGCCAGCCGGGGTACTTGCCAGTGCGACGGCATCCTCGACTGGAACGACCCCAGCTTCGGCAAGTGCGACTGGTGGGGTGATGTCCACATCACCAAGAGCTGGCGATCTCCCGACGTCTTCGACTTCCAAGGCTATGGCGTCTACAGCTACGCCTCCACCACCAAGTGCGGCGGAGACTTCGAGATGCAGCTCTTCCAGTGCCCGTACAGCAGGAATGGCAACGCCGTGGCCATCGGGGTTGCGGTGAAGGTGAACAACGGGGACGTGGTTGTCGTTGCCAACGACACGGTGTTCAATGCCGACGTCTCGGCAGACACGATGGAGGACCTCAAGAAGGGAGTCAGCATCGTCAGCGACGACAAGTGCGTTCGCCTCAACGTGAACACCAAGCTCTATCGAAGGGCCCCAACCCTCCTGCACAACGGGAACTTGCGGGTGATCCAGGAGGCGCTCACCAACGAGGGAATCTGCGGAGCTCCGACTTTCGGCGGGGAGTTCGTGGCGCCGGATGGGCCAGACATGCTCTTCCCTGAGGAAATGTTCAAGGAGATGTGCGGCTTCTGCGAAGATCAGACAGGCGTCTCCGTGCCCGGCTGCACTCCTGCCGGTGGCGGCGACCCAGTCATCTCGCCGGGCTGCGACTTTTTGCAGTTGAGGCCCAGCAAGGAGTTCGTGGACTGCGCCGGTGACCAGGACCCGGTGCTTGAGGAAGCAAAGGCGGATGGTGAAAACTGTGTCGCGTATGTGCGCCTGCAGAAGCAAACATCATGCTCTGAGTTTTGCACGGAGAAGGGCTCCACGTGTGAGATGGCCATCGACCAGCCGAACGGCCAGAAGTGTGTGGCCTCCGTGTCCAGCTTGAGTGAGATCGACACAAGCAAGATCAACTGCGATGCCAAAGGCTTCCGTGACCTCATCTGTGTCTGCAAGAAGCCGGATAACCCAGCACCAGGACCGACGCCAGAGGAGGCATGCGCCGAGCAGACTGACTTCTCCGTGCAGGATGCGGCAAACCTGTGCCGAGAGAAGGCGGACTTCCTTCAGGGAGTGGTGTACCCGGGCACCGGGGCATCGCCAGATGCCATCTTAAAAGAAGCCTTTCTGCGGGCGTGCATCCTCGACGTTTGCTCCGCAGCGCCCGAGGATCGCGAGGAGGTGGCAGAGAATGCGGCGGACCAGGATCCTTCAGATCCCCCGGTTGAGCCATCGACCACCACCACTACAACAACTGCCCCGGCTGTTGTGGGAGATGAGTTGTACGTCTTCGGCTTCACCCCCTACGTTGGCTCTTCCTCTCCTTTCCAGCCGCAGGGGGTGGTGGAAGTGGAGTCGCTCCCCGACGGCACCACCCGCCTCTCTTGGAGCCTCACAGGACTCGACCCTGCCTGCAGCAGCCAGTGCAACCAGGCGAACTGCTGCGGCGTTCACATCCACGAAGGCAGGGGGGGGCCCCAGCTGCTTATAGGAGTGAGCATCCTGGTTCGGGCTCAGCGTTTGCAGGACCTGAAACTTCGGAAGCCCAAAGAAAACATGCGATCCTCTTTCCCATCCTCCGCCGGAGAGGCAAATCCGTGGTTTTTTGGCACGTATGAGGAAGCATTCGTGAGTCGTGAGATGCCCTCAGTCATGAGCCTTGCAAATCAACACGCATTTAATGTTCCGGAGCGCAGTTTGATTTCCACTTGGCGCACTCCAACCATGGGGCAGCGCATAAACTGATTTGTCAGCCGGGCCGCGGCCCAACCGCAAAGGCAAATTTAGGGTTTAGGGTTTAGGGTAACCCTGAGCCCTAACCCTGGGCTATGTCCCCAGGGTGCCAGGGAAGGTCCCCGGGGGGCTCTGCCATTCTGTCTACCAAGATGAAGACCGGCTGCTGTTCTGTTAAGGCTTTCCTAAACCCTAAACCCTAAACCCTAAACCCTAAACCCTAAACCGGACTTAGCGCTTAGGGTTGCGAGGAAGAGGAGCTGGGAGGAAGGCGTGGCTTCAGCCACCAAACACATGGGGCGTGTGCTTGTAAATGTTGCCTCACTAAGCTACGGGTGCGTTGGGCCTGCATACGACAACATGTACACGATAGCAGCCCTCTACCCTGAACCCTAAACCCTAAACCCTAAAATCAGAAGTTGAAGCCAGAAATCCCCAAAAATATCCAAAGACCCCCAACCAGCCGCAAAGAGTCCCAACTCCTCCGATTTTGGGATTCAAGCCGTCTACAAAAAATCTACCAAATGGAATTGCTTTGCTCATTCGGGGCGTTCTTCTACATGTCGCTTTGCTTTGCATACTGCATTGTTCCCCAAGTCCAATCCGAATTACCATCCCCCCGCCCCCCACACACACACGCACGCACGCACGCACGCACGCACGCACGCACGCACGCACGCACGCACGCACGCACGCACGCACGCACGCACGCACGCACGCACGCACCACACCCGCCTTTTTCCAACTAACTTGTTATTGCCATAACCTCTTTGTCTTCTTATTGTCCTCTGTGATCTTGAGCCACAACGCATTATCTTAGCAGAGATGCGTCGTGGGCTCACAGGGTGTCCCGGCCTTGGGGGTGGCAATCCTGTTGTGTGGATGCGCAAACGGTTTAGGGTGTAGGGTGTAGGGCTTAGTGGGGGTTATAGCGTCCGCACGCGCAGAACTCCCGAGTTATATATGGAGCGACTCGGAGAGACAGCCCGAGACGGATAGCGAGGGTTGAGGGTTTAGGGCTTTGGGGAAGCAATCCCGTAGTCCCCAATCAAGACGGCCCTGGACAAGCCCCATCGCCGTCTCTGTGCTGCTTTGTTGTTCTAAAAACACAGTACTGCAGGCAAGAGCTGCAAGATCCCGGCCGGCGCTCACTTCTGGGACAGCGCCAGCATCTCGCAGGACCCTTGGCTGTCCGTCAAGTACGACTCCAGCACCGACCCGGCGAACCTCCTGTCCAAGGAGGTGAAGACAGGGCTGAGCAATGAAGACGTCTTGGGCCGCACCGTGGTGATCCATGATGCGACGGGCGCACGCATCGCTTGTGGCATCATTGAGCCGTCCACAACTACGGTCTTCGAGAAGTATCCGAACTACGGCGGAGGTCTGCCATTGACGGCCGGCGGCGTCAAGGTCCGGGCGACTGTTGACACGGGCAGTTAGTCGCTTCGATCGTCAAGATCGTCAGGAGTCAAGAGTCTAGAGGACACCACGCCCTCGATCAGTGCCCCAAAAGAAAACCGAAAGTGTAGCAACTAATAGAAAGAAACGATCTGATGCCTCGCTTCCTGCACATGTAGCGTCAGAAGTGTGCCAGTTGCTGCTCGGGTCTGCTCGGAGGTGGAGTCGGACGACACCACGCAGAAGCTCAGCTGGTTGTTCACGCATGGCCTGGACCCTCGGTGCGATGAGTCTACCTGCACTGCCGCCAACTGCTGTGGCGTTCACATCCATGAGGGCATGACCTGCTCAGACGCCGACGCCATTGGCGGCCACTACTGGAACAAGGATGCCCATTCGGAGGATCCTTGGAAGAACGTGCGCTACGTGATTCAGGGCTCCATGCCATCGGCGGTCAACGACATCATGGTCACGACCGGCTACGGGGCCGAGGACATCAATGGCCGGGCTGTTGTGGTTCACGACTACGACGGTGCACGCATTGGCTGTGCCATCATCGAGCTGCCCGTGGTCGAGACGCCCGTGGAGGGCGATGACTTGTATGTCTTTGACTTCAGCCCGTATCCTGGCTCCTCATCTCCATACCAGCCGCAGGGAGTGGTCGAGGTCAAGTCCACGGAGGATGACAACACGGTTCTGTCTTGGAGCCTGACAGGACTCGACCCTGGTTGCAGCAGCCCGTGCAGCCAGACGAACTGCTGCGGCATTCACATCCACGAAGGCAGGGTGCGATCCTCAATGAAGCAGCATGATTCCTGTTTGGGCACTCATGAGGTGTTAGGTAGGGTTTGGGGGTGGTCCGCCGCAAATTCGTGCACTTTGCAAGGCACCAGTTGCGCGGAGGATGCCGGGCCCCACCACTGGAACGGGCATGACGAGGATCCCTGGCTGTCGGTCAAGTACGACTCCAGCGGGGACCCGGCCAACGTCCTCTCCATGGAGGTCCACACACACCTCACTCGCAGCGACGTCTTGGGCCGAACGCTGGTGATTCACGACAAGACCGGCGCCCGCATAGCGTGCGGCATCATCGAGGACGGGAGATCCTGCATGGTATGACGCACTAATTCTACATAAACCTTGACATGCCCAAAGGCGGATATCTTCAGCACGCCCGATTCTTAGCGAAAATCCTGTGTAGTGTGCGCTGCTTAGTGTGCGCCGCGCTGCCCCGCCCGTCCCCCCCCATCCCGCACCCCTGTAGTTCGGGTTAGGGGCAGCACGGTTGAGAGTAGGGATTCAGGATATTTTTAGGTTTTTGACTTCTGGGGCCGCATGACGAAAAACATGGTCACAACAGGGCAGAAGGGGCTGCCATCAGCACACTCGCGGGGCAACGAGCCCATACCTTGACCTTTCACAGGCATCAACACTAGTTAAATGTGGCGCAGAGCAAGCTGTCCGTTTCTATGTTGTCCAGGAGTCCACGACCACGGTCTTCGAGGAGTATCCTGATTATGACGGCGATTTGCCTTTGACATCTGGTGGGGTGAAGGTCTGGGGGGTCTTGGGTTTAGGCTTTAGGGTTTAGGGTTTAGTCCCAGCTACCGTCTGTTACCCTTTTACCCTTTCCGGCAGGTCGAGTCTGACGACACCACGCAGAAGCTCAGCTGGC